GTACACAAGCATTTTCACCTACAACAAAACCACTCTCTCTCTCATTCCCTTCCTGTTAGCAGCATGTAAATGATACTGATTCAGAAGATGCATATTCTTTTCCAAAGTATCTTCTGGAACACGACTGAGATTTTTATCCCAATCATTATCCGCTGTTTATTACCCTGCTTCCAAAAACCTCATTCATAAAAGAAAATTAGAAAAGGAAAAGTTGAGTCATAGGAAACAAGTACAATGCTGATGAAATGGATTCTCCTAATTCAGATTAACTAAACGTATCAGCTAGTGCTGCAAAACACAGAGAAGAAAGAAACCAATTAAAACCGGGCTTAACAAGAGAAAAAATATACTGACTCATTTGCCTGAAAGATCCATAGGTAGCCTTGGCTTTAGTTTTGTTTATTTTATCAAGCAATTCAATAATGTCATCAAATACTAAGGGGTTTGTTTGTCTCTCAAGCATGCTTTTTTCAGTGTTGTCTTCCACTATGGTTGGCTGTCCTCTTTATTCTAAGATGGCTTCCAGAAGCTTTGACAATAATTATACAACTCACAGTTCCAGCAAGAAAGAGACACCATCCTTGTCCTCAGCAAATGTCCTAAGTGTTACTTTAATTGGATAGGCTGTCACATGCCCAGCATTGGGTCAATCACCATGGCCAAGCAGATTGCACAGATTTGTCATACACTCTATCTCTAGGACTAAGATGGAATCAGCTTTCCTAGAGGAACATGCATCCCTAACCAAGATTAGGAGCTCTCAGGAAGACAGAAATATCTGAGAAATGGGAGGACGGACAAGAAAGCTACCAAAAGTATTGACTACAGTTGAGGAAGGTGAATTGGAGAAAAATCTGAATTATAGAAGCCTTTCAACCTACATTTCTTTTAAAATATCCTATACTGCAGATCTTTTTTCTCACATACTTGCAGTAATTCAAATTAGGTCAATGAAGGGCTGACAGGCGCTCCCTTGAATGAAGAGATTTGATTGATTGGCAATTAGCCTCTCAATTATATGGACACACACTGATCTTTTTTTTTTTTTTTAAGTAGGTACTTTAAAAGAGTTTGCTCTTTGAAGGCAAGTATATCGTAAAGCACATTTTGTAAAGTGCAGTTCATGTTTATGTGTTTGAAATCTTGAAATCACTGGGGTAGAAATGGGGAATGCATGGCAATGAAAGCCTTGAATTGAGCAGGAAATGGGGCAGGAACGAGGTGCACTGCTACAGCCCTTCCTTCTTGGGAAAATTGAGCGGTGCAAGGAGCACAGAAGGCCTGGCTAAAAGAGTCTGTAATGGAGAATGGGCAAGTACAACAGGTCTGGATTTCCACCAGGTAAGTATTTGAGATTTTCTTCACATGGCTCCATCTTTAGCAGAGGAAACATAATCTCAGGATGCATTTATATTGTTCACATGGCAAAGGTTTCTCTGACTGGAAATAGCAAGAAAGAGATGACATTTATCAGGCCTGAGTCTTCCTGCTGCAGTGGAATTTGGATAACTTTACAATTACTACCTAAGCAGAAATTGCAAGGATGCATCTGCTTCTCCCTATCCTATCCTGTGGCAGACATAACTAATCAATCATACTAGTCAATCAATCCCTTTCTGCTAAACCTAGAAATGACTTCACAATCTGTCTTGATGAAGTGCTCCAGGAAGCCACTACCAGTTGAGCAGACTTGAAAACAGAGATAAAACTGCATAGTACAGAACACATTTTAACCTTTCCCACTTTCCTTTCCTGTGATGTGTCTCCTAAGGACACAATACATTTGGTGGCCCATTCATTCTCCAGGCCGCACTAAGACTTTTCTATGAATTCTTTTCTTCCTGAAGAATCCTGTCTCCTCATGGCTCTCAGATGCCTCCTATGGGATCATTTTCTTCCAAGAGTGTTGTGTTAACTGTGATTGCCAGTGGTTGGTTAATTTAACCTCCTTTTTGGTATCTACCATTCATTCCTGTCTTCAGGGTTCTTGCCTCTACTCTCCATTATGAACCAGGCTGCAGATGCAGAATATTTCTTTTTTTAGCTCTTCTGCATCTTAAATAAATGCACCCAGCTTTCCAGATTATGTAAGATTTACTTTGTCTAATGTGTGCCCATGACAGCTTAGCATTATTTCTTAGAATAAAGTCAATGCTCCCCACCTGCATCAAAAAATTTACTAGGGTGGAGTTCTTACTTAAAATGCTATTTGGGGGCCTCAGTCTGAAGCCAATAAATCAGAATTTCTAATCTGATTTTTAGCTGATACCCAGGGTAATTCATAAACTCCTTAAAGTTTGAAAATATCTGCCACAGGAAACAGACAGAGGACTGGGGGAAAATCGTGGTGAGCCTACCCAGACAGAAGCGGTCTTAAATGTCTTCAATATGGTATCTCCTGAGCTGTATTGATTTTTAGGTGGGGCAATGTCTGATCCTTCTTAAGCCATCACTGACTCATATCTTGTGATCCTTCTCTTCTGAAAGTCAGACCAGAACATACCCAGATTAAGAGGCAGACCAATGGAATGTGTGCAGGGACACCAGCCCAATAAGGCCACTAAAATATCACTGAAAATAAAACAAGGTAGAGAATACTGTATTTACCAGAATGCTCTTAGGAAGAGACATGTATGTGAGTTGCAGGGAATAATCTGATAGGTTGCTTGTGGGAGCAAACATCCACGAAACTTGTCCACATAATAACAACAACAATGACAATCATTCTGATGATACTGTAAAGGCCAAGAGAAAATTTCCCCTTTGCCCTCTGAAGGTTCACTGAAAAGTCAACTCACAAAAGGCAGATTAATTGGAGAAAAGGCACACAAAATGTATTAAAGTATACACGAGAGACTTCAGAATGAAGACCCAAACATACACGGGAAATTGTTAGTGGTTATGTTTAGGTTCAACTTGTAGGGACAGCCATGTAGAAATATGACTGGACAAAATGAATGAAATCTAACGCTGATAGACTGAGTGGGGAAACCCAGCAGGGCCTGCCTGTCTAGATTCTACTTGGCATTGTTCTTTCTGAGTGTGGGGCAAGACCCTCTTTGGAATAGGGTCTTGTGACCTACAGTCAAACAAAATAGGCTGGGCTATTTTTTTATGGCCAGGTTTTAACACAGAAAGGCAGAGGGAAAGCTCAAGTAATATTTTTAGATTTTATGGCTGGCTTTGGGGAAGAGGGATTCTAGTTTCTATTGCTAGCCTTAGAATAGGGAGAGAATGGGACTGAGACAAGAGAACAGGAGAAGATCAGAGAAAAACTTTTGCTTCTGAGGCCTTCATTTTGGGGAATTGCTTTCTGAGTCCCATAATAACAATAATAGTATTAATCTACAGCCTTATGAGGAGACTGGGTCTGGTAAATGGTAAGGCTTTGGTTTTGCTGCATGGAATGCTTGAGGCTCAGATTAGGAGCTAAAGGTTCTGGATGAGAAAATAGGCTAGGCCCATGCCTGTGGCCTTCCCTCATGCCGTACCAATTGTACAATGAGCAGTGCTTATGAACAAATGGATCAGCAAATACTCCAATTATATCACAGTTTTAGGAGGCACCAAGTTTTTTTAAGCTTCCCAGGAAACCTGGCTACTTTAGTCTGACCTGTCAGAACTGCCCACTTCCTTCATTTTATATTTTCATTCTTGGAAATTTTTCTACTGGGACCCTACCCCTTCTTCTCAAACTCAGCCCCATAGACCTTAGAGACCACAGGATTCGTGCATTAAAAATAGAAACCAAAGCCAATTAAACCTCTAATATGTTAAATAAGAGGTATTTGCATCTCTGAAGAAACTTCTGACAAGCATGACAAGCAATGACAGCTAATGCAAGTCTTGCTTCACACAGAAAGTCATCTCAGGCTATTCCTTGGTACTTTGTCTCTCTCCTGCCCAGGGCCTTTGAACCTGGGCATACAACACAAAGTGGGCACTTGCCCGATCTCTCTCCTTCTAAAGATGTATTTCATCTCCTCTTCCTATTCGGGCAAAAGATCAGTTAATAGTTTGCTGCTCCCCTCCCCGCAACAGAAGGACCTGCATTATAAAATACAAACTCTTCACATTTGCAGAAAGATTGGGGGCTTGCCGCTAAAACTTTCATACTGGGCATAAAATCCTGTGTCATTTTCTCCCTCTCTGATGCTGCTCAAGGCCAGCATTGGGCAACACTGGGAGAACTTAACATTCTCCCTCAGGAATATTCATTTAAGTGCCTTTTTGCATGAAGTAATTATTTTCATGGGATATTAGCATGTGGCACACTCTTCACTTGCCCAATACTCCTAAACTGTCTAAAATACAGGAAGAACCCTCCTAACATGGTGTTCTTTTTAGGAATTTAATAGGCTTCTGGTTCAAGATGGCGGCCTGAGCACAGAATTTGACTTCCATTTTCTCCCAAGTTTATATTAAAATTATCACACAAACACACACACACACACACACACACACACCCCCTGTGACAGAGCAGAGGGAAAAAAATTAGATACTATTACTACCTACTGAGTTTGGAGGACTGTATGAAGGACACGGTGTAGAATTTATTTGATTGCCAGAGAAAAAGTAGAAGAATCACAGTTCAAGGTATTAGAGTAAAGCATCCGTCCTGTCAAAGGAGACAAGAGACTATCCAAGCTAGAGTCCTCAAATGCAAGAATGGACCTAGAGTTCATCTTCGAGATATGTATTGAGGAATTGCATTTGAAAGGGCATTATCAGTGGGCCCTTGTCCCTTCAACAGAGTTTCTGAGAGCTACAAATTTTATCCTTGGGCTGCAGCTTTAGAACTACGTTATAGAGAGAGCGGTTGATCTGTTGCTACAAAAAATAAAAAACAAAAACAAACAACCAAATAAACAAAAACAGATGATCTATGATAATTGCTTTGTAGCAAACCACTCTAAAGTGAAACAGTTGAAAATTATTTCTTATCTCTCACCTTTCCATGGCTTGACCGGTTCAGCTTTATTGTTCTCTCTCTCATGTAGGTTCAGGCACATGGGACTGGAGCTGGTGGAGCCATCTGAATCTCTCCTCGTTCACTCCTCTGGTGCCTATGGTGCAAGCCATCCAAGTGGCTAGGATATCCAAAGTCTACTGAGGTGTCCATCTCTTCATACAGCCTTTCCCTGTCGCTGCTTGGGCTTCCTTGCAATATGGTGCTTACAGGGTAGTTGGACTTTTTACATGATGGCTGACTTTTCCCAGAACAAGTGTTCCAAGAGACAGGAAGTGAGAGCTGGCCCAGGATCAGAACTGATAATGTCACTTCAGCTGTATTCTCTGGGTCAAACCCAGAGCCCCCACAGACTCAAAGAAAGAGGGATCAAACTCCACCTTCTAATGGGAGAAGTGAACGAATGATGTACATAGTCTTTAATCTATCCTATGTGAGCTCCTGGTGATGGTTTTGGAGAATGCAAGAGAAACAGAGAGAACCAAAGCACCAGGTGCTCCACTCCCAGGGGGCTTTGCATTGGTAATTATGGGGCTCCCTAGCTTGTTTCCTTGTTTCTGGACTCCCAGCATGAGAGCTCATATTTAGACCTTCTATTTAAGGAAGAAGCCCATTGTAAGAGACACACAACTGCTGAGGAAAATGCACATTTGTTATCTGCACATACCGAAGTAGCTCTTCATCAAAAAAAAAAAAAGAAAGAAAAGAAACCAATAACAGCATGAAGGAGGGGAATAAAAGAATCTTTGGGGAGAAGAGGAGAACTGTTTAAAATTATTCTGATTTCTGCCCACAGGCTTGAGAAGATACTGCTACCACAAATTAAGAGCAGTCTCTTTTGAAAATATATCAATCAGAATTTTAAAAATCATTTTTGAAATTAAGCTTTTCTTGCAATAATAAAGATTTTGCTTTATAAATTAAATAATAATATGGACAGAGATGAAGATCAAGTTGATGATCTGGAAGATAAAGTCAAGGAAATCTCTCAGAATTTGGGGCAAAAAGATAAGTGAAATGTAATAGCGAAAAGTTAAAGGTGGCAAATCTAGGAGGCCTAACAGCAACTAATAGATTTTCTAGGAGAGAACAGAGGCATAAAAGGGTAAAAAAATTATAGAAATGTAGAAATTGAAGATAAAAATAAAATTCTCCGAGTGGATAATAGACACACCTCTTAAAATTGAATGTCTAGTGAGTATGGAGAATAATGAATGGGAAAATCGCTCATGTATAGACCCATCCTGCTGAAGTTTCCTAACTTATAGGAAAAAGTGAATGTTCTTAAAGGTTCTGGAGAGAAAAAGAGAGGTCACTCACAGTGACGATAAGCATACTGACATCCAATTCTGGTCAGCAATACTGGGTTTTAGGCAGAGGAACAATATATTCAAACTTCCACGGAAAACTACTTTGAATATGGAATTCTATACCTAGCCAAGCTATCAATAAAATACAGGGGCCAAAAATAAATGAAAGAAAGAGAGAAAGAAAAGGAAAGAAGGAAAGAGAAAGAAAGGAAGGAAGGAAGGAAGGGAAAAGAGAGAGAAAGAAAGAAAGAGAGAGAAAGAAAAGAAAGGGCAAGCAAAGATTTAGCAAATATATCACCTATATTTCCTATAAATGAAGGAACCACTTACCAAACTCCTCCCACAGAATGAAGAACAACTGCAGGAGGAAGGCTGGCATGAATGTAATTGGAAAGTAGGGGAAGCAAGCAAAACATCAAAACAGAGTATCTTGGGCTGGAGTGCTTGAAAATTAAAAAAAAAAAAATCATACTTGTGATTACTTAAATTTTTAAAAGTTTACAACAACAAAAAGAAATATAAGTAGCCAAAAAAACCATATTTGTATCATGTACAACAAATAACTAATATTCTTCTCATATAAAATGTTTTGATGAGGCAATTTGAAAAACAGAAATAGAAAAATGGGCAAATATCCTGAATGGGCAAGTCACAAAGGCAAAGAAGAAATCAATGCAGATGAACGGTGACATTCCCTTACACTTCCCACAGGTTGGTCTTCCCTATAAATTCAGCCTGAACAGAAGGGTTCAACCTTCCAGGGCTCATGTGGGTGTATGGATCTGCCCTGGCTTTGCAAAGGAGGCCGGGGGGCAGTGGAGTACCATGTGTAGGGAGAGGGGACATTTTTCAACAGCTGCCACATGTGTGAAACTTTGGAAAGAGAAAGCTTTCCAAAGGGAATCTGGGAGAATTTTTAGGAAGTTTGATTCTGCTTAAGTGTGTGGTGTGTTTAATAATTGTCACATTTATTCCTCACCTCCCAGTGACAATCTCCTGGAATTCAGTTAGCTTGGCAATCAGAGCTTGGTGGGTTCTCAACATCTATCAACTTTGTTCTTTCTATAAGTATTTTTAAGCACACTCTGTTGAATCTTTTTCCCATACCCTTGGCCACAACTTGAGCGAATTGCACACATTTCTGGTTGCTTTTGGTTATGAAAAGTCCAGTCTGGTGTAAGGCTTTAATCAAACATCCTATTTTAAATTCTTTGACTCCACCATCATCAGTTTTGGGGCCCTATAACTGTCTAGTGGGAAGGAGACCTGTGCTTTCTTTCACTCCTCCCCTGCAGTGCAGGATGGGACCATGGTCTCATTCCGGGTTCTCCTCCTCACCACGTTTCCAAGTTTTGTTCCTCTATGAAGGCAGACAGGAGGGAGAGGGTCCTAGGAGATGTCCTTACCTAATCATCAGCTTTCTGTAGCATCCTAGTCTTGTGGGGTCCATCTCATTCTGAGAGGTGAAGCCAGCTGCACTTCCTGGGTCGAGTGGGAACTTGGAGAGCTTTTCCGTAGCTAGCTAGAGATTTGTAAAATGCACCAATCAGTGCTCTGTAAAAACGCACCAATCAGCACTCTGTAGCTAGCTAAAGGTTTGTAAAATGGACCAATCAGCACACTAAAATGAACCAATCAGCACTCTCTAGCTAGCTAGAGGTTTGTAAAATGGACCAATCAGCACACTAAAATGAACCAATCAGCACTCTGTAAAATGGACCAATCAGCAGGACATGGGCAGGGACAAATAAGGGAATAAAAGCTGGGCACCCCAGCCAGCAGCGGTAACATGCTCGGGTCCCCTTCTGTGCTGTGGAAGCTTTGTTCTTTTGCTCTTCACAATAAATCTTGTTGCCACACACTCTTTGGGTCCGTGCCACCTTTAAAAGCTATAACACTCACTGCAAAGGTCCACGGCTTCTTTCTCAAAGTCAGTGAGACCACGAACCCACCAGAAGGAACCAACTCTGGACACAATTTTATCTGTTTCTGTTTCTATTTGGTCTCCAGAAATGTGGTGGCCCCTGTGGAGATGTGAGCAAGGCCTTCCTGGGATAATGTGCAATTTCACTACAGCGCCTTTTAGCACTAACATCCTATTTCTTTCCCTTTGGACCTGTCAGTGGTCCATGACATCAACCCTGCTCCTGAAGGGTATTTCTGTGCATGCCTGGCTCAGTCCCGGGCATATCCTTAGCATCTACCTACTCTTCTAACTTAGATGATCCTCTACAGGATCGATAGGGTTTGACTGTGTCCCCACTCAAATCTCATCTTGAGTTGTAGCTTCCATAATTCCCACGTGTCATGGGAGGGATCTGGTGGGAGGTAATTGAATCATGGGGGCAGGTCTTTCCCATGCTATTCTCATGATAGTGAATAAGTCTCACAAGATCTGCTGGTTTTATAAATGGGAGTTCCCCTGCACACACTCTCTTGCCTGCTGCCTTTAAGATGTGACTTTGCTCCTCACTCACCTTCCACCATGATTGTGAGGCCTCCCCAGCCATGTGGAATTGTGAGTCAACTAAACCTATTTCCTTTATAAATTACCCAGTCTCAGGGACGTCTTTATTAGCAGCATGAGAGCAAACGAATATAGGGATGACTGGGGATGACTAGGCTCCTCCTCGAACTCTCAGAAAGCCTTGGAGACGTGGAATGCAGGTCTTTCATCCTCTGTTGGGCACTCTCTCCCAACCTGATGAGGGCTTCTCCTGCAAGTTTCCTCCCTTCAGACCACCAAAGGAAAAGCTATCTGTCACTGTGCTCTTATCATTCCCAAGGACATGGTCTGATCCTCCCAAGAAGCATCATTTGGTACCTTGCTCAGAGCAGTTCAGGGTGGCCTGTAGGCACCTCAGCATCCAGCCCCATGCTAGTCTCTCCTTCTAGTATGGAGGAATTCTCTCCTAGTGATGCTCTTGGAATCCCCTTCTCGGCCTCTCACTTGATTTTTTGTTTGTTTGTTTGTTTGTTTGAAGAGTGAGGGAATAAGGTCTCTGTCCCTATGAGAAAGAGGAGCAAAACTCCCCACAAACACTATACTTCAAATCTCTGGGCCGGGTGCAGTGGCTCAAGCCTGTAATCCCAGCACTTTGGGAGGCCGAAGCAGGCAGATCATGAGGTCAAGAGATCCAGACCACCCTGGCTAACATGGTGAAACCCTGTCTCTAATAAAATTGCAAAATATTAGGCGGGTGTGGTGGCACACACCTGTAGTCCCAGCTACTCAGGAGGCTGAGGTAGGAGAATGTCGTGAACCCAGGAGGCAGAGCTTGCAGTGAGCTGAGATCGCACCACTGCACTCCAGCCTGGGCAACGAAGCGAGACTCCATCTCTAAAAAAAAAAACCAAAAAAACACTCTGAGGATTTTTCCCACCCATCACTTCTTTGCTACACTGCATGCTCATGGACTTCAGTAGAGGAGGGAGCTTTCCAGCTTCCATCTTTGCCTGACAAATCTCCAAACCAAAGGACCTAACTCAGCTCCCAGGCTGTGCCTCACTTCCTAATCCCACCTTGCAGCCCCCTGCTGACTTTGTGGGGGCTTTCTAAGGCAGGCTGTGGTGCTGTCAACAAGAAAAACCATGTCTGCATCCAAAATGTCAGAATATTTTCTTGACTGTGGCCATTCATATATCAAAAATGGTTATTCCAGTTTCTGCCTCTCTCTACATTTGAAAAGACAAGAGTATTAATTAACATATAACTTGATGTAAAAACATAAATAGAAATCATAACAAAAGTCTAACCTTTAAAGGATTCAAATTTAAAATCTCTGAGAAAGCCAGTGATTATTTTATTGATATGGTTTCTCTACCAACTTTCAAAACCTGCAGGTGTTACATTAGCTGCACAAGAATTTCTCTCCACTTCCGAGTCTGCAGTAGAAACATGCTAATGAGAATTAGAGGAAATTAATGAGAGATGGTCTAGGAGACCAGGAGAGAAGTTCAGCAGAGCTTCCTGTGTGGTAAATTTTCAGAAAAGCTGCTTTAATTTACCGTGACCAAAGAGCTTATAAGTAAAAAAAAAAAAAAAGAAAAAAGAAAAAAAAGAAAATAATATATATATACAAATCTACACCCTTAACCATTTCATTCTTCTAACATAGGTCTAAAAATGCTAAAGGTAACATCAGTGTCAAAGAAGCTATTGCCAGAAAAAAAAGAACAAACACCCAGAAGCCAAAACAAAACAAACAAAAAGAGCAACAGTAAAGCACCCCCACACTTGAGTCCCCAAGACTGAGCAACAATAAGAGTGATATTGATGCTGATGGTGATCCAGTTATCATATAAACTCTGACTTCAGCATGAAAGATGGGCCTAATTGTAGGTCTTTAGCAAGCAAAAGTCATTCTGCAGATAAATGAACTGAGGCACAGAGCAACAAAGATGGAACCAAGACAATTCCTAAGGTGTGTTACAATATTGGGGCTTGAATGCATGTCTAGATACCAAATCTGCTAAGCCATATTAATGGTGACACACACGTTGTCAAGCATGTTCATGTTAACATTGATTCTAGGTCCAGTGATGTTAATAACCAAGAGGGTCGTGAATATGTTAAGGCTGATCTTACTAGAGTAGGTAGATAGGCAGATATGAGCAGGGCAGGACAGGACCCCAAAGAATGTTAGCCGATTGTCAGGCTGCTGGAAACAGAGGGGGGAAAATTTCCCAACAACCAGGAAACATCTTGAGTTTGTGGGGAGCAACTTCCCTGTAAGAACTTAAAAATTGAGTAGAGGTGTCTAGGCGTGCTGGTAAGGGGCAAAATGGCAGAGTCTGGCCAGCATATGACCTTCCTCTGGGGGCGCTAGACTGGTAAAGGAAAATTACTGTTAAGAGAGCATGCACCATCCTGGCTAACACAGTGAAACCCCGTCTCTACTAAAAAATAAAAAAAAAAAAAAAAATAGCCGGGCGAGGTGGTGGGCGCCTGTAGTCCCAGCTACTCGGGAGGCTGAGGCAGGAGAATGGCGAAAACCCGGGAGGCGGAGCTTGCAGTGAGCTGAGATCCGGCCACTGCACTCCAGCCCGGGCGGCAGAGAGAGACTCCGTCTCAAAAAAAAAAAAGAGAGCATGCACATAGCTTCAACCGCCAAAGGGCACGTGCAGCCCCTCCCAGATACTGACAAGTCACTGCGCATGTGGTGATTAGCCAATAGCCTGCCCAAGGCGAAGGATGAGGGGAAGAGACTGGGAAAGAAAACAGGAAATAGTAAGTCTGTAAGAGCCCTGAACCAAAGATCAGGGGGTGCATTCAATCTTTTGAATTGCCTGCTTGGTCCCTTCAAGTATACATTTCTTGGCTTCAGTAAGTTCTCATTTCTGCCTTAAATCTATTTTTGTCTCTCGGTCAAATTATTTCTTCCAAGGAGACAAAGACAAAGGACCAAGGACCCCAACCGAACTCTCTGCCAGTAACAATCTGAAGTCCAACACTGAAGCCTTTACTAGTACTCCACTGAATTCAGTCTGGTGAATATTTATTGAACACCTGCTATGCTAGACACTATTTCTGACCTCCAAGAATTCATGGTTTAGCAAGGAAAACAAATGACCAGTATGCAAACAAATAAATATAAGCCAACGTGACAAACACTGAACAACGTGTTGTGGGAACAGAGATGAAGAAGGAATTAAGTCTAGCTTGGGCATAGGAGGTGGGGGAAGCATTCTGGAAAGAGTAGAGAAAACTTTTTTTTTTTTTTTTTTTTTTTTTGAGATGAGTGCCAATTTGAACTGGCTCTTCAAAGAAAAAATAATGAGAAGAGTAGGGAAGCATGAACAAAACTAGGGTCCTGAAAGTGCACAGCGAGTCTGGGGAATGGTGGGTGCATGTGAGTTACAGAGAGGCTGGAAACATCAGCTGGAGCTTAGCTGGGTTTATATAACCTTCTGTGCCATGAGAAAGATTTTGTTCTTCCTCCTGAACTGATGGAGAGAATAGAGGATTTTTAGAATGGGTGACACATGGGGTCCAATTTCTATTTTATAAAATGATGCTGTTGGTATTTCAGAAAGTGGTTGGAAGGATAGTGAGCCTGAAGGCAGAAAGATCAACTAAACAGTGATAGGAGAAAGAAACAAATATAACAACGAAATAACAGGAGACAGACACAAATGCCTGACCAAAGCCAGGCTGGCAGGGACAGACAGGAGAGCCAGGTTATGAGTGAGATGCCATGGGTAGAATTGACAGGTATTTGTGCTGATTGCATGTGAGAGCTAAGCACCTTGTACTTTTGGCCAGAGCGTTGCTGCTGGCTATCCACAGTGATGATGGAGCTAGGCTGAAGCTCCTCATTCCTCTGCACATTCCGGTCTTTGACTGCTAGGCTGGTTCTTGAGAGTCAAACTCATTTTTGCTTCTGCTTTCCTATCGCCCCTGGACTGTTGTATCATGGATCCTCATTCTTCAGGTCTTGTTAAGGGTTGAACTGGGTCCCCATTAAAATTCATAGGTTGAACCCTAATCCCCAGTACCTCAGAATGTTATTTTATTTGAAAAATATAGCCTTTACAGAGGTAGCCCAGCTAAAATGAGATCATTAGAGTGAACCCTAATCCTATATAAAAAGGAGAAATTGGGAAACAGACACTCATACAGGAAAAAACTCATGTGAAAATGAAGGCAGGGTCAGCATGATACCTCTTCAAGCCAAAGAATGCCAGAGTTTGCTAGAAACCACAAAAGCTGGGTAAGAGGCATGAGACATATTCTCCCTCATAGCCTCAGAAGAAATCAACCCTGCCAACATTTTAATCTTGAATTTTTTTTTTTTTTACATGGAGTCTCCCTCTTGTCCCTCAGGCTAGAGTGCAGTGGTGCGATCTCAGTTCACTGCACCCTCCACCTCCTAGGTTCAACTGATTCTCCTGCCTCAGCCTCCCAAGTGGCTGGGATTACAGGTGCGAGCCACCAGCCTGGCTCATTTTTGTATTTTTAGTAGAGACAGGGTTTCATCATACTGGCCAGGCTTCTCATTTCTGCCTTAAATCTACTTTTGTCTCTTGGCCAAATTATTTCTTCCAAGAAGACAAAGACCAAGGACCAAGGACCCCAACCGGACGCACTGCCAGTAACAATCTGAAGTCCAACATTGGAGCTTTTACTAGTATTCCACTAAATTCAGTCTGATGAATATTTATTGAACACATACTATGCTAGACACTGTTGCTGACCTCTAAGAATTCATGGTTTAGCAAGGAAAACATGGTTTAGCAAGGCTTATCTCGAACTGCTGACCTCAGGTAATCCACCCGCCTTGGCCTCCCAAAGTGCTGGGATTATAGGCATGAGCCACCATGCGCAGCCTTGATCTTGGATTTCTGGCCTGCAGAACTGAGAGATGACACATTTGTGTTGTTTAAGCAGGCCAGTGGGTGGCACTTTTTCTCTGCAGCCCCACTAAAGTAATACAGGTCTCAGCTCAAACGACGTTCGTGACCACACAATCTAAAGCAGTGCCTCCCCACCACATCACCTTGTTTTATTGTCTTCATAATCGTTAACCTTACCTTATCGTGTTAATATGTTTATTTAGTTGTTTTGTCTGGTCTCCTCTGTCTCCTACCCAGCCACACACTGTCATGCTACACTTTGAGTGTGTGCTCCAGGACTCTGCGGAATTTTCCATGGGTTTTGCTATATCCACAGATTGTAGAACAACCTGGCAATAGTGGGCAGTCAGTACATATTTTATTGAATGAGTGAAAACATAAGTGATTATCTTTCTTGACACTAGGACGAACTCTGGCGTGAATTCCAATTAAAGTGTTATTGTTTGTCCTCATCGGCTAGGGTTGAGTTTGAGAGGCTTATCCTCCAGGGTGGAATCATCTGAAGGCTCCTTCCCTCAATGTCTGGGCTGGGATGACTTGAAGAGTAATGCATGTCCACCAGAACACCTGGATGAGTCTCTCCATGTAGCCCAGCTTCCACACTGCAGGGCAGCCCCTGCTTAGTTGGACTTAGGTGCTGGTTTGGGACTCCAAGTAGGTGAGCTCCAGAGAACAAGGTGGAAGAAACATTGCCTTTCATGACCCAGCTTCGAAAGTCATACATCACTTCTACCATACTCTGTTGATCGAAGCAGCCGTAACCCCATGGGCATTCAGGGAGTGACGGACACAGACCTACTTCTTGATGGTATGGTGGCAAGATCACATTGCAGAGGAGGATCTGCGATGAGAGAGATTGTGTTGCAGCTATCTTTAGCAAATAGAGTTGCCATGAATTCTTATTCAAAACCTGAGTTTTGGGTCTCTCTTCAAAAGATTCTGATTCCTGAGTCTCAGTTCAAACTTAAAAGACCTTTTGGCGGTCCTGAGAATACAATCTTTATAACAAGCACTTTAGGCATTTCTGATGCTGAGATGCACAATCCCGTTGTCTGAGAACTCTTCTCTGGGGCCAGTTTAATGTCTCCTGGCAGCTGCCCTTCTGCAATTTAAGCGCACAAGCCAGTTTTCTATTGCACTCTCTCCATGATGAGAAAATGCTGAGATATAATAAGCCAAAATGATAGGGCTCCTAAATCTATAAAAACAAGCCATTACTGTAACAATATAGAGAGATAAAATGACTATATTTACACATAAAAATTTTAAATAGTATTGGAGAAATATTACAGAATAAAAAATCCTAGGTCAATTTTATGCTCCTATGAATGCAATAGTTGTCCATTTCTGCCTAATGACACTGCTAGTATTCACCCAGTCCTAAATTATGAATTTACTGTAACTCCCTTCCCAATGTCAGACTTTCTCGAGCTATACTTGTGCTATCTGTAATCACTAGGTATGTTTTAAAAATGCCTCCAGTTGGCATTTTTAAGAGATAGCCATCCCGCCTCTCACCTTAGCTTTTGGGTAACATTGGTTTTTCTTGCTCATTGTTCTCTGATCCATATTCACCCTCTTCCTTTCAGATAATGTCAAGACACCACAAACTGATATGATCTTATCATTACAGTTCCTAGGATTATCTTATTCTGAATTTAGGTTTTCTTTCAACATTTTTATAAACCAATCTCAAATCACTTGCAGGCCTTTGTGAGAAATTACAATAGCTTGCATCACTTTAAAAAAAAAAAAATTAAAGCCTCTTATTTCCCTGAAAATAGTTGAACCTAATTTATTTCCAGAAATTGTCCTTGAACTTATTC